GCCCCAGAACAAGGCCATCCTCATACAAGAAAGCAGACAATCCAGAGCCAGGTAGACAGGTGTTCCTCTTTGTGGGATGTCTCCACTGGAGCCACCCAGGACCACTACCCAAATGGGGTCCCAGCATAGATGTTATGCTGGCCAGAACGGGAAATATTTGGTAGCCCAAGGACACCAAGCAGGGCAAAGCCAGACTTGCTGTGTACCCCAACATCTTTTGGGCCAAGGAGCTAGCAAACACCACAGACGACCTACAGCCAGACACAGAGGGCTCCAGGAACTGCCACTGTCCCCACAAAGACCTCTTGAGTGCATATGGAGCCAATGCAGGGCTGGGGTGGTGGGCTCTGTGCCCAGTCTCGAGCCTCTGGAAAAGCATTTCTTCCCACCCAGCCCAGAGGAATGTTTTTATTCTTCTGCTGGAGGAGGTACGTCTGAGAGGCCAGGCCAAGCAGGCTGTCCTTCAAGGCACTCTGAGATTCCCCCCAGGCAAGGAAGATGTGGCAGCATCCACAGTCTCACCTGCCCTGCCCTCCCATGTGGGGCCCATGCAACGCAAAGCTGCATAGCCCACTGGTCAGAGGAGAGCTCTTGTAGCCTCAGCTCTGGAGAGGCTAGCAAGCCACTGAGATGGCCTCAGGCACCAAGTATCCTAGGACAGAAGCAAACATGGGCTTCTTGTAGGTCACCAGCAGCCCTCTGGGGAGCTGAACGACCCCTGGTGGGCAGTGGCTGTGGTGGCTCTGGGCTGTCTCATTTGGCTCCTGCTCTTACTATAGCAAGTAGACTTTCAAACTCCTTTTTCAGGAGCTCCAGGGTGTGTGAGACCTACCCCCACCCTGAGATCTGCCCTGACCCCTGCCAGCCGTACCACAATCCCCACTCAGGAGATCCTCAGCCTCTGTAGGCGCCACCTGCCATGGGTGACACTGTTGTCCCCACTGGGGTCTGCCACCCTCTCCACATCCACCTTCTCCACTTAGATACCTGGGGAACTTCTACTCACTCTCCAGTACCTGAAACTCACCACCCCTACCTTCCCAGTCTGTCACCTCCACTCACACCTGCAGCCCATCTCTACTTGCAGAGTCTGCACTACTGCTGCCTCAGTCCCTGCCATCTCCTGGTGACTTCCCACTGCTTGGGCTTCCTCCTCTTTTCACAGTTTAGCCCCCATGCAGGACACAGTGGGGGCCCCTTGGCCAGTGGTAGGACTATCTTTCTCCTTTGCAAACCAGCCTCAACACCTCTGGTGGCTCTCACCAGGCCCAGAGTGGAATTGGGCATCCTGGCCCCAGCTGAGCCCCCTCTGACCAACTTGGTGGCTGCCATTTCAGATGGCTGTTCCACGGCCACACTATGTCCTCCTGGAGGGCCACCCATCTGAGCAGTACCTTCCTGAGCGCCTCCTCTTTGGACCTTGCTCCATTTCTCTCCAAGAACACTGCCCCCAGGAGGCTGGGGTTTGTGCCTCTCATCCCCATCACTCTCTAGGTCCAGGGACCACTCAGCACAAACCAAACCCTGAGCCTGATATGTAGCCCCACAGTCTCCATGCTGCTGCAAAGCCCTCCCCAGGCAGCGACCCCAAAAGAGAGACCTGTAGGAACCAAAAGGGTGACAATAAAAGTAGTCATGAGGCAGCAGGTAACATGGGTAATGACCGTTCCAAGGCATAAACACAGAGCAACACCCCTGTGGTCGCCCAGGCCCTGCTGGGGCTGCACAGGCTGACCTTGAGCAAGGTCAGGACATGCACACGAGGCTCTCAGTCCTGCCCTGTGGGTGTCTCCTTCCTGGGATCAGTGGATCTCAGACCATCTGCCACCCCCTGGTTCCGGATGCAGCTCCCAGAGCAGCCAGGCTCTGAGTAGCAAGGAAACGTTCCCAGGCCTGAGGGTGGCTGTGAAACGTGGTGTTTTGCAGTTGCTTCAACATTGTGGACATTCATAAAATTAATTTGCTAAGAGAGGAGATAAATCCAATCTAGCGTTCCCATGGCAACACCTCCCAGGCTGCTGCTGCCCGTGTGGGAGCGCACTGGGGAATTTCAGTCTCGGGATTTTTATGGAGAACAAGCTCTCAGGGTCCAGCTGCCCCCAGCCCATGGGGAGGTCTCAGGGAGGGGAACTCTGGTGGCCTGGAAAAGCTCTAAGTGTGGAATGTGGAGAGGGAACTCGAACCACACTGAAACCTACAGCCCCCCTGCCCAAACCCGCCTCAGTTTTCCTGGAGAACGGGATGGGGAAGACAGGAATTCTGATGATGTCACAGGACAGCTGGGCCTCCTGCCTCCTGGGACCTGGTGCCCTCCACACAGTCTGCCCTCTCCCTGCCAGGCCTAGGTGCTGTCCCTCTCTGGGGAGGCTGGCCAAGCTCCTGCCCTGCCCGTCCCTCTGCCTCATGATCGAGGGCACTTTGAACTCCTTGGCTAGGGCTGTTTCCAGGCCTGATTGGAAGAACCTTGGAAAGAGCAGCCCCCACCCCAGGCTGCCTGCAGGAGTGGAGCTGGTGAGGAGAAGCGTGCACAGGCCAGGGCTGTGAGACTCCCACCGACCCATGGGTGTTTTCTCTATCTGCACCAGTAATTTTCTCCCAGTTTTACACTTGAGAAAAATGACTCTGCTATGCTCTACTGAGAATATTTTCCAAGAGCTCTGAGGATCAGATGTCTGTGGGGCTGGCAGCTCCCAACAGCTTCAGAGGCAGCTGGTGTGAATGGGCAGGGCTAGGGGAAGTGGAAGGGAAAGGATGACCTCCCCCACAGTGTACCCTGCTCCTGCACAGACCGCCCCCCTGGCCCACATACACTTGGGGCCCTGCAGCCAGTGCCACCCCCACCTCCACCAATTCCCAAGACACCTGGCCCTCACCGAGGCCAGCAGGGATTCGGGGCACACCAGTTGTCTGTGGGAGCTGCACCTCATATGTACACGGGATAGGGGGCTCCTCTGTGGACTTCCCTACACTCAAAGGGACACCAGCCCTGAAATAATCCCACCTCCCCACAGGGTGGGGCCAGGCACCAGCAGGCTGCCATTGAAGAACTCATTGAAGAGTTCTCTCATTGCTCCCTCTTGAGCAAGCCCTGGGCAGACCTGGGCAGTCAGATGAAGGAACTGGGTAAGGCAGGGGGTCCAGATTCCACTCCCTAGCAAGGCATAGTCCACCCACAAAGGGTGTCTGTGACCCACCAAAGGCACAACTCAGAAAACAATGTGCTTTAGAAATCACTCAAGGAGGAGTGATGGCAACTAGGGGAAAATGTCCAACCCCCGAAGGCAGAGCAGGATGCTGGTGCCAGCGGCAAGAGGAAACGTGGAGCCTTCTCCACGCACCACTTCAGGGAAATAGAAATGAAAGCAACCAACAGCAGAACCACCGCGTATCAGGCAGCTCTGCTTGGCCCTGCCCTAGGGACATCCTCGCAGGGAGAGTGGGCTAGTGCAGGGACTGACTCTGCACCTGTAGAGCTGGGCCAGGGACACCAAGTTGTCAGCCATAGCTAGAGTCCCAGGGATGCATCAGTTCTGAAGCTCTGACCCCTGTGAACCTGGGGATCCACCATGACTCACCAAAAGTGGTGAAGCAGAGGAAGGGGAAACCCAAGTTGTCAAGAAGACCAAAATGTTTTGAAAGCCAGCCCTCCGCTTGGTGGGTGACGCTTGCGGGCTGGCACAGTAACTGCTCGTGCAGACCTGCTCCCACCCCACCCTTCCCCCAACCCCTGCTCCAGTCCATGGCCTGGGACTCTCCATGAAGGCCAGTGAGTCCCCAGCCCCAAATCCCTCTACAGAGCCCTTCTTGGAAACCTCATGGGCAGAGGACTCTGAGAGGGGCAGCTGGTACCCACCCAACACCACAGGGGCACTCTATAAGGAGCCCCAGGACTCAGCTACTCCTAAAAGCCACATAGCCACAGCAAACCTCCAGGATAACCCTGGGAAACTGGGCCCGCTCCCAGAGCCAAAAGAAACACAAGAGGTCAAGCCTCAGTCACCAACCAAGGGGAGAGGCAGAACACAGCACACACGGGAAGCAGCGCTCACAAACAGATAACTGCTCTTCAATGAGAAGCCTGGTGAAGGCTGCTGTGTCCATCACAGAGCCTAATGTTTGTGAGTCGTGTGTGTCCTCACCTGTGACCAGCCTCCCTGCTCCACTCTAGTGTGGACACATCAGGTCACACACGGTGCCCGGGGGCTCCCTGACACCACATAGCCTAGACTCGGAGAATGTGCTAGCTCGCTTCTGGTGACACCCTCCTAGTCTTCCCAGCAACCCAAGGTGATAAGATGTATTCCTTCCACAACCCTCTGCTGCCCATGCTGAGGATGTTTCAGGGACAGAAGGACATGGCATGGTGCAAACTCTACCATGCCGAGTATCCTTCTGGAGAATGGGCCTAAAAGACGCAAAGGTGAAATCCTCCTTGCCCTAGAGGACCCAAGTAGTGGGAATGAGCCACCCACACAGTTCACAGAGCCATGGCAGGTCATGCGCTTGTGCCTAGGCTACTAGCAGGGAGGCTCTGCTCCAGGTCTCTCCCAGCATTAACCCCTGGAGAGAGGGAGCCCCCATGGCAGGCACAGGTCCCCCCGGGTTTCTCACCATGCAGGTTTTGTATCTGCCACAACAAAACTGGCATTTTAGGAAGAGCCTCAACACATGAGGACAGAAGGGATTTGTGGTGGTGAAGTGTGAGCCATTGCCCATCCGTTCCAGGAGGTGTTCAGTGTAGGCAGGCATGGGGGACGAGGGGTGGGGTCCTGCAGGGTGCAGGGTTGGGGGTATGGAGTCATGGAGGGCACTGGGCTCATGGAGATTGTGAAGGTCATGGGGGCATGGAGTTATGGGGTCACGGGGGTATGGGGTCATGGGGAACATGGGGTGGGTTCTTTTCCGAAGGAAGGTATGTTTGGAGTGTAGGGCAAAAGCAGGAGGGCAGGTTCACCCAGCAGTGGTACGCTGGGAGTGTCACCATCCCTAAGCAGACCCACCTCAGTGATGATGAAGAAGTCATCTCCTGGCTCCCCCTGGACTACAATTTTCTCTCCATCTTCAAACTGGACAGGCTCCAGTGCATCAGCCACAGTCAGGCGCTCCCACTTCTCCAGGGACTCTGTGACAGGAGGACAAAGACAGGGTCACCAGGGGCCCAAACCTGGCCACCAAGGTCAGCACAAGGCTTTTCTCAAAACTCGTCCTCAGGAAACACCTGGGTGTTAGCTTCCTGAGATGAATGAAGAAGCAGACAGCAGCCAGGGCCACCAGGCCAGCTCCCCGCAGCCCATCCCATAGGCCTGGCTGTGCTGACAGTGGTTAGATGGGACAGTGGGGGGAAGGAATGGGGACAGTTTCAAATCCAACACCTGCAGCCGACTTAATGTGTAAGTAATAGGGGCTGAAAATTGACTCTAGGTTAAGTTAGTCTGAAAATACTTTCATTATGTTCAAAAGAATAGAGCTGCCTATATTTTTGCAGATAAGAGTCCCTGCTAAGCACTACGGCTACTGAGTAGCTTAAAATAACTCTGAGTGGTGGAAGCAATCACCCATTCAAAAGGAACACCACTCTTCACAGACTGTTCCAAGAACATGGAATGTCATTTATGTGGCACTATCAAGGCAGAGTATACCTTCCATTGTTTCAAGTTAAAATATTTCATTCTAATGCCAAGTTTATTTGCAAAAGTTTGCAAATTCATTAAATCCACCCTTCTCTTGCCTTTCCTTCCCTGTCATTATCTATCCCTAACTCTTGCAAGAAAGAATAATAATGGTGAGACTTTTACAAGAAAATAATGATCACCTGATTAACTATTTCTTTTTGGCAAAATAAACTTTTCTGGCCAGAAGCTAAAAATAAAAAGCAAAGCATTTATTTTAGATTGCCTGTGACCAGCCAATTAGGAAGAAGATTTCTCTCCTTAAACACTCCTGCCAGTAACACACACACAAAGGACAAAGCTCTCACAACCCTGGGGCTGAGTAGATGTAGCTTGGGGAAGGGGTGGGGCTGCCTGGTTTGTGTCCCAATCCCAGGCACGGCAGAACTTCAGCCTGCACCTTGCTGCTACAAAATGCAGGTCACTTTTAAGCAAAACTATGGCTTATGCTTAGGAGAAAATGGATGCAGAATTGGACTGGCTACAAATTCAGAGCATTTCGTTTCTTGGTTTCCTGATAAGGGCAGTGATAAAAGGCATTTAATTTACAAGTCAGTTGCAGTTAGGAAGTTAATTTCCACATATTTAATTAGCAAGTGTGTTTTCTGACATTTGAAATCTGTAGTATTCTAAGGTCTAACAAATCAAGATTAGCAACAGCGTTATTTCCCTACAGCATAAACCTTGAGTGAAAACTGTCAAAAGAAACTATTATGTTGGGGCTGGGAGCAGTGGCTCATGCCCATAATCCTAGCACTCTGGGATCTGAGGCAGGAGGATCACTTGAACTCATGAGTTCAAGATCAGCCTGAGCAACATAGTGAAACCTCATCTATACAAAAAATAGAAAACAATTAGCCAGGCATGGTGGTGCATGCTTGTAGTCCCAGATACTTGGGAGGCTGAGGCAGGATCACTTGAACCCAGGAGTTTGGGGCTGCAGTGAGCTATGATGATGCTACTGTACTCTGACTAGGGCAACAGAGTGACACTGTGTCTAAATAAAAGGAAAGAAAGAAAGAAACTGTATGTTGAAAGATGGCAACTTTTTGGCCTTAATTTTTTAAATGTTTCAAGTCTGTGCATATTTCATTTCATGAAACACAAAACATCTGGGGGCATTTTTTTTTTTTCAGTTTTTTGCCAGGGCTTTGTTTGAACCTGCCACCTCCGGCATGTGGGGCTGGCGCCTTACTCCTTGAGCCACAGGGGCAGTTCATTTTTTTGTTTACTAAAAATTCGGAATGCCTTCAGAATCTCTATGTTTACTAAAAATTCAGAATCTACCACATGCAAGTGGTAGATTCTACATAGGGAAACAAGGTGACACAGGCTGTGAGAGTCTCACTTTTAATGGTCAGTCCCTTTTCTGAAAGGCATTTCCCACACTGCACTGTGGAAAGTGAGCAGAGTCAATGCAGGCAGGTGACCCAGAAAGTACCTCTCTGGGGTCAGTCTGCAGCTGAAGGATGAGACAAAGCCAGGGCATGTAAACCTGTCCAGAAAGGGAGACCCCACCACGTGGGCTCAGGGGGGATCTTGCAGCTTCACCCCTTCCCATGCGGATTGTGCTGAGTTTGTGAAGCTTCTGGTGCTAGGGGCTGACCCTGATGTTCATCAGAAGACAGGAGAACCCTGAGGGCCCCAGTGCACAGTTGCTGTTGCCAAGTTCCTAGTGAGGGGACAGATGCCAAAGTCCACAGCTCAGGCTCCCTCCAAGGCATCCGCCTGCCAAAGCCAGTCACGATGCATTGTCCCGCCAGTTACTTTTGGGGGACTTTGTGCAGCTAATGGTGACTGAGAGGGAGAGGGGATTACAGTCTTGTTGTTATTCCTCCGGAAGGCCGTGGAGAAGCTGGTCACACTTGGCAGCTATTGCATTAATCAAAGGAAAACAAAACGGGCGGACAGGAGGCTAGGCGGGAAGAGTGTCTGACAGGCCTACAAAAGCCAAGACACAGAAGAAGGAAACAACTTCCAGCCCGGGCCTGCCTGCTCCAAGTTGCAGTGCCTGTCTGCTCAGCCCCAGGAGCAGGGAGAGGGTCTCACCTGTCACTGTGGCGGCAGCGAGACCACAGTTGTTACCATGACAGCATAATGAATGAATGACTCTGGGGAAGCGCTGACATTTCAGTGCCTGGTGCGCTGGCATGTGAGAATGCATGAGCGCGCACCTGTGTGTGTCCCAAACTCGCATGGTACCAAGAACTCACGAGCCACAGGAGGAATGGGAAAACAGCCAAGGTGGCTGCAGGTGCCCAAACAAGGCAGAAGAGGCCACGCCAGGACAGATGGGGCTACTGACCTAGGATGGACACCTTGCTCAGGAATTCCTCATACATCTTGCGTTTTCTCAGCGTGCTGCCCTGTTAGAGAGAGAGGAAAACAGGGAGAAAGTGGGTATCCAAACCTGAAGCCTTCTGACACTTACAGGTGTCCCCGCATTGTTGTGAACTCCTAGAGGGAGACCCTGTAAGCACCTTGAGCCCTGAGTGCCCCTGCAATGGCCAGGCATCTGTGTGAGCTGCCATGCTTCCCACACCTGGCCCCAGCCCCTAGAAGAGACTTCATTTAGGTTCCTAAGTGCCTTGGCTGGCAACAGAGGACCCACCAAGCGTGGGCCAGCCAGAGTCCTGTGCCTGGATTTCTGTCTGCTGCAGGGTTGCTCACTGGCTGGGAGGGGGAATGCCAAGTGCTGTCCGCCCCTTGCCTACTCCAGAGCCCCTCGCCCTCTCCTCATTTGAAGAGAAACAAAAGTTGACACACAGAATTGAGTATGTGATGTGGGAGAGAGGGTGCAGCTGACCCTGGATCCAGATATGCCTGAAGCTGGTCTATCTGCATCCTTCCCAATTAAAAGAACCAATAAATCTGTCCCCCTGCTCCCTGCCCCACTAAAAGCATGCTAGATAATGCAACACCAACAAACAGGGCCCTGTCAGCATTATGTGAATTAGAAATTAGAATATACCCTGTTAAGTAGGATTAGAAATGTGAATTAGAAGAAGGCACCCCAGCCAGGCATGGTGGCTTATGCCTGTAATTCTAGCTCTTTGGGAGGCTGAAGCAGATCACTTGAGCTCAGGAGTTTAAGACCAGCCAAAGCAAGAGTGAGACCTGTCTGTACTAAAAATAGAAAAATTAGGAGGATCTGGTAGCAGGCGCCCGTAAGTCCCAGCTACTCGGGAGGCTGAGGCAGGAGGGTAGCTTGAGCTCAGGAGTCTGAGGCTGCAGTGAGCTATGATGATGCTACTGAAACCCAGCCTGGGTGACACATTGAGACTCTGTTCCAACAACAACAACAACAAAAAAAGGCACTTCAAGCACATGTCTCAGCAAGCTGATGGATCCTTGTACAAACAAGAATGAGGCCCCACCTCTAGGCAGTCAGCTCCAGCCTGGTAAGTAAAAAGCAGCCTGGATCTCAGTCCTTCTTGCCTTCTGTGCAGTACCTTTGTACAGTGTGCAGACTCCACAACTGCAGAAGGCAGCCATGCCAGTGAGTATATAAAGCATTACATATTCAGAAAACAGAGGACAGACAGTCCACTGAGAGCAGCAAGCCTAGTCTTATTAAAATTCAAATGGCCTCATCAACTGATGAAGGCCACAAATTTGAGTAGTGAGTACCCTGGCACTGAATAGAATCCGGAGAGGTAGTATCTACCAGTGACAAAATTTTTCTGTGACCTTTGATCAGCCATCACCTTGGTGTAGAGGTTGAGGGGAGGGACCTACTATGCAGAAGGTACCCCTAAGTTGGAGAATAGGTTCAGGGTCTTAGGCACACCTCTCCTCATAGACCTTGTGACAACCCTGGGAGGTGAACACATCATTATCCTTCTTTCCAGAGGAGGAAACTAAGGCTCAGAGGGGCTGAGTAACTGCCCTAGGTAGTGATCATGAACCCAGGAATGAAAACCCCAGAGTTGTGCCAGCATCTCACCTGTCGCACAGGGATGTGTTTCGCCACTTCCTGATATGCTATTTCTTTTTTTTTAGACAGAGTCTTACTATGCCACCTTGGTAGAGTGCCATGGTGTCACAGCTCACAGCAACTCAAACTCTTGGACTTAAGCGATTCTCATGCCTCAGCCTCTCAAGTAGCTAGGACTATAGGTGCCTGCCACAATGCCTGGCTATTTTTGTTGTTGTTGCTGTAATTGTCATTGTTGTTTAGCAGGCCTGGACCAGATATGTGGCTGATGCCCTAACCACTGAGCTACAGACGCCGAGCCCTGATGTGCTATTTCATGTGTTCCTATAGCACCCTGAGATTGAGAACCATGTACATGGCACCAGGTCCTCCCATCAGTGCTTGCAGCCAGCTGGCCAAGCTCTGACACGAGTTGGGTGTGCAGTTTCTGAGCATGCCTTTCTCTCCTGCTTCCTATTCTTTGGCATGTGGAAAGAACGGGTAGAGCCCCAGCAGACCTCCTGGGCCCTTGTAAATAGGAGGAGCAACCAAACAAGAGAGGTTCTGAGCCCACAGAGCAGCACACCCACTGTTGACAGCTATTTTCAGGGTTCTTGGACATAAGAAATAACTCTTTGGTCTAAGCCCTGTTCTCTCGAGTGTTTCTGTTATGCCTGGTATGGCGGCAGCTCTGTGACGGCCCTGGTGTTCTCAACCTATGTGGTCCTGTCCACAGTGAACAGGGTTGACCCGTGCAACCAAGAGGACATTAAAGAATAATGGTTTAAGATTTCCAAAGCAAGAGGGTAAAAGACACTGTGGCTCCTGCCTAGCTCTTGTCTAAAGTGCTCAGCTATGGAGAGGCTCTGAGGAGAAGCAGGGCGACCTGCAGCACAGAGACACCCCTTGGCCACCAAACCTCCTGACTACCCTGGGGAAGCTCCAGCCAGGGCCACTGCTGAGAAACTGTCTGACAAATGTTATACTGCTGCCATAGGCCACTAAGTTTGGAGAAGTCTATTACTCAGTGACAGCCAATATGTCCGTTTAACCCCAGTCCTAGGGCAGGTGGGCTAGCATAATGCCCACCCTGCAGCTCTCCCAGCTGCCTCTCATCTCACCTGGCCATCACTGAGGTCAATGATGCCCCTAGGACCCCTACTTGGCTCTTTCATCCTTTTGCAGCAGCAGGACCCTTGTGGTCCCTGGTCCTCACAGCCAAACTGGACTCAGGCCCTGTAGCCCTCTGGCCGTGGGCTAAAGTAATGTTAAGAAGACCACGATGGGGAAAGAATCAAATCTGTCTCCCTTCATGTCCAGAAGACTCTGACAGCCAGAGGAACCTCAAATGCCTATTGATCTCCCCAGAAGAATAGAAATCACAGTCAGACCTCAGGTGGCCTTTACCATGTGCCCTGTGGGCAGTGGGTACAGCAATGCTGAAACGTACAGGTGTGCTCAGGTGTATAGGGGTGTACAGTCCACAGCTCAGATGGGCACAGAAAAGGAGAAAGCCCAGAGGTGAACACACTAGAGAAATATGCCCAGAGGTGCCCCACTATGTCAGGGGGACAAGGGCTCTGTCCTGGCCTGTGCCTGGGGCCTACACCCACCACTACCCCTCCCTATCTCTTGATGCTACCACAATCAAAGGCAAACTTCGTGTTGTGGCTTTAGTCTCTGAAAGTGGACTCAGTTGGGTACAAAGTATACCAATGTGCCCTTTAAAAAGGGATCCTTTTAAGGTGTTGAAGGAGACTCCACTGCTAGGAAAAGGGAGGCCACCGCAGGAGCCCCCTGCATGGCAGGGGTGGGGCAAGCAGGCCCCTGACGGGAGCACAGTAGGGGTCTCAGGCCCACATGCTCCCTGTTGGGTTGGGGCCGGAGCAGTCCACTAAGGCAGGAGGACCCTGCAAGAGGGGCAGGAGAGGGTGGGGTGCGGGGTCTTCTGGAAGGGAAAGGGCTGGGGGGAGGCTGGACCAGGGCATATGAGGCCAAATGCCTGTCCCTAGAAAATATGACAAAAATGCAAGTGGCAATGAAGTGGGGGAGGGCTGGCTCGAGTGTCCCATGGCACAGCCACCACTCCCAAGGGCTAAACCAAGGGTTTTTCCATAGTTGCTTATTCTAGACCCCAGTGGTGAGGCCGACCTTTCCCATGTGTCTCAAGCTGCCCAGGCACAGGCCATTTCCGGTCCCGTGGGCTTCCTCGCTTGCCTCTAAGTCTCCCTTAATGTCCAGAAACACAGACTCTTGGAGCCAAGACTCCCACTCATAGCATGGAAAACCAAACCTGGCCAAGATACAGCCCTGATGAGGGATGAGGACCCTAAGGATGCCCCACCCACCCCAGCCTCCTAGAGCCTCAGCACTGATGCCATAGTAGGCATTCCACTTAAGTTGGAGGAGGATGGATTTGCATTTGACACCTGCTTCAGGGAACCTTGGAGAAAGGAGATAACAAAAATTCCCACCCTCATTGGGTTACTGCAAGGACCAAGTCTTAACAAAAGTTCCTTATGCTGCTGCTGATGGTGACAGCAATGGTGATGGTGACGGTGATGGTGATGGTAATGGTAATGATAGTCATGGTAGTGGTGGTTCTTACTGAGGACAATGGAAGAGGCCTGATAGGAGTGACAGCACCACTTCAATTCTAGCCCCAGCCTGCCCATAACTTCTATGCTCTCAGACCAGCCTCTTCCCCTCTGGGCTTTGGGGTCTCTGTCAGGAGAGAGATTGAAGTAGGCACACATTCCACATCTCTGACCTGGGCTCCTCCTCAACTGCTCACTGCTTCACTGGGGCCATCTCCAACTCAGCCCAGAAGGTTCCTTGACTGCTTCCCATGGAGTTTCTAGGGATCATGGGGTTTCAGCCTCAGCTATGTGGTAAGAGACCTCGGCAAATGGCTACTGACTGGCACCAGTCCTTGATAGCCCCCACCATATTCAAGTCTCTTTCTCTTCCCAGGAGGTAATGAGAACAGACAGCTATGACTTGGCTGAGTGCTTACTGGGCACCAGGTGCCTCCAGTGGTCATCTTCTGTATCTGAACCTCAGCCCTATCAGGTGGCCCTATTATTACCACCACTCTGTGGGGGGAAAGAGCCTCAGGGCAGGGTTGTGGCCTACTCACACACTGGGCTGCCAACTGGTGGGGCTGGGACTTGAAATGGGTTGGTTTTGTTTTAGAATGACACTTGCACTGTCCTGGAAACAGCAAGGCCACCTTGAGTCTCCACTCACACCCAGTGTCTTGCCTGCTCTGGAGGAGGCAGAAGTGGCATCCACAGGACACCTACTGTGTGCTCTGCACTATACCACGTATCCTCATGCTTCATCCTCACCTTAAGTTACAGAAGGGCAGCTCAGAGAACCACATGATGCCCAGGCTGCCCAGGGACACAGTGGAGCTGGGATGGAGTTCATGCTCTCACTACCATGCCC